CACACACACGCACGCGCTCACAGAGACTCTCACACTCACAGAGAGACACACACACACACCCCGCCTGGATGGAGAACCCCTACAGCAAGGCACACACACACACACACACACACTCACAGAGACACACACACACACTTTTACGTGCTTTTCACGCCCAGATCTGAATTCATGCAATGTTTAATACATTTTAAATCAATTGTTAATCATTTTATTCTTTACTTTTTTTTTTCTCATTCATTTGTTAATTATTTTGATTCTTTTTTAAGCACTTCGTGTATGAAACGTGCTGTAAACTTGCCTTGCTACTGATTTGTGTCCATTAAAATACAATAGTTTGCAATTAAAATAACCACCGCTGTGTGTGTGTGTGTGTGTGTGTGTGTGTGTGTGTGTGTGTGTGTGTGTGTGTTTCACAGGTGGCTTCTTCCACCACAGGCTTTAAATGCGTATTACCTGCCAAACAAAAACCAGATGGGTGAGTATCATAAACACACACCTGAATATTGAGATACTAAATTGGAAAGTTTGGCATCATTTATTTTAAAATAAATTAATACTTTTTATTCATCAAGGATGCATTCAATTGATCAGTGATATTAAGGACATTTATAATGTTACAGTAGATTTCTATTTAATTTTTACTGTATTTTTGATCAAATAAATGCAGCTTTGGTGAGCAGAAGAGATTTAATAACATGAATAAATTGTATCAACCCCACATTTCTGAACGCTAGTGTATATCATCCTACTTATTTACTGTATTTTTCTCTCATGGTGAGGGCTTTTCATTGACTGCTGTTGTTTTTAATGATATTTTCTTCACACAAACCTTTCAGCATTTGTACATCTTCACTAAGGCGTTATTTATTATATGTATTAATTTGTTTTCCAGCTGCACCTGACAAAGAAGCTTTCATCATTATCTGGGAAATAAATGCCACCTGTTAGAGGATCAATACAGACAGATAGAGTCAGAGAGAGAGTTCATTTTCATTATATCTTTGTTCATTCTTCATTTATTTTCTTTGTTTTTTTTCCTTGCTCGTATAAATGCTTTGGCGATACAATCTACAGTTTGTTGCACCAATAAAGTAAAATAAAAAAATAAAATTTGAATTTGACAGAGAGTGAGACAGAAACTGAGATGAAACCTCATTAACTAGCGTCATATTTTTATATTGTACTTTGCTTCATCATTGTAAGCTCATCTCTCTCATTCTTTCTCTTCAGTTTTTCCTGCAGGAATTCTCCAGCCGACTCTCTACGATCCTGAATTCCCTCAGTGAGTATCACAGTCGTTCCTCTGGTGATTCTCTGTGATTCCGTCAGTCCTGAAGTCAAAGTGTGAATACAGACTGGTTACATCTCCACCAGCGGCCAGACATTCAGTGATTGTAATCTTATAGACTTCATTAGTATAATATTCAGCTGCTGTGTGTGTGTGTGTGTGTGTGTGTGTGTGTGTGTTTTATAGTACATCTTATACAGTCTTAAATGTTCAGCATCATATGCCTGATGTGTGTGTGTTTGCAGGGCGGTGGTGAAAATGGCTTTACTGCGTCTTTTGAGAAAGTGACACTTCTGAAGAGAGAGAGAGAGAGAGAGTGAGAGTGTGTGTGTGTGTGTGTTTATGGCTATTGTGGCTTTTCTCTGAGAGCTGCAGCCTTGTATTGATTTCCCTTCACAAAATCTGTTAGAGGGGACAAATATTAGCAGACCACACACACTGACACACTAACACTTACACACACTCACACACTATCATATACACACACTCACACATTTTTTATTTTAGTATCATTTATATATTATTATAGCTTTTGTTAATACTTTGAATTAGATTTTATTTTTATATATCCCATTATATATATAATTATTATATTAGTAAATATATATTCTTTTTATATGTAAAGTTTGTTGTAATTTTTAGTGTGTGTGTGTGTGTGTGTGTATATATATATATAAACACAAACGCGGTTTTGTGAATTTATATTTTATATAATATTTTATATTTAATATTACATTTAATTTATATTTATATTTAATATATATATTTATATTTCAGTTTTAGTTATTTTAGTAAATCAGGTTAAACTAAATGAAAATGAGAAATAGATGAACTACTGAATAACTAGCTGAAATAAAATAATGGTTTAAGTTTTAGTTAACTATAATAAACCTGGTGTTTGTACCTACTTAATCATATTTTGGGGACAAATTTGTACCGAGAAGTGAGCAAAACCATGACAAAATCTCCTCCTTTTGGGGACATACTGATTGGTAAAAACAGTATAAAAAATAAAGTAAAGAAAGTGTTTTATAAATGAAATAAATGCAGTTTTGTGTTAGGGTTAGTGTTTCAGTTACAGTATTTATAACTAGCGGTCTATAAAAACAATATGAGTCTATGTAATAACCCTATGTAGATCAGTAAACCTGTGTGTTGTAGGCTGTATTGTGAGTCTCTGCTGCTGTCTGCTGTTCATTTCTGTGATGCACATTAAAGATCGGATGAGATTGAGTGTATTCTTCATGATCAGAAGTGTTTTTCTTGTGTTTTAGGTCACTGAATTACGGAGGAATCGGAGCGATCATCGGTCACGAGCTCACACACGGATACGACGACTGGGGTGAGACAGAAACCTGTAATAACACTCCTGTAATAATGAACGAGTTAAACATTATTCAGAGATCTCCGAGTAACACAGACAGATGCAGCAGTGAAACATATGATCTGCATGACGTCTGTCGCCTGTCAGTTCTTCTGAACATCATGACTGGATCACTCTGTATCTCATGGCATTTTTTAGGATTTTGGCATATGATGTCATTTTTCGAGTCATGTGACTTCTTCCTGTTTGCTGATAGGTGGGCAGTACGATCGCTATGGCAACCTGAAGCAGTGGTGGACGGAAGAGTCGTACAGGAAGTTTCAGAAGAAGGCGGAGTGTATCGTCAAACTCTACGACAACTTCACTGTGTACAACCAGAGGGTAAGACACACACACACACACACACACTTACAGACGCCCGCACGCACGCACGCGCACACACACACACACACACTTACAGACACACACTCACTGACACACACACACAGGTTTGTTTTTATGGTTTATGGGGACTCTCCACACACTCACTGACACACACAGACAAACACTCACACACACACACACACACACACACACACACACTAGAGGTCTGCACGGGCTTTAAACTGAAGCCGAACCCGACCCGTACCCGAGATCGTCTGACCCGGCCCGACCCGACCCGAGCGGCACAGTTAAATTTAGAGCCCGAACCCGAAATCTTTTTTTTTTTCTCCCACAACGAATAGCCAATTACAAAAAAAAAATGCTGTATTTCACGATTGCATGCAACGGTCAGTAAGCAAATACATGTAAAGAAACAGAATCATTAAGGCTTGGCCAGTTCACAAGGCAAGAGAAAAAACACTTACCAGTTATGAAAGTTTATGAACATCAGGTGCAGCGGTCACATAAATTCTGCCGAGTTTTTGAATGGTTGTATACGACAAGACGATAATTCTTCCATCGTGCAAATTA